AAATATTAAAATATGCGTGAAAAAAATACTTAAACGATGCGAATGCTAAGTTTCTGCTACATAACCAAACACTCACCGTCAGCTAAAGTTTTTTTTTAGAAGATTTATGCATTTTCATAAACTTTCACTAAACGAGTGCACTCGTAAAGCATTAAAAAGCTATAAATTGTAACTAAAGAACGCGAACTAAAAAAAAATATATATACTCACATACCGTCAAAGGCAATATAATAAACGATGTATATGTAGAAACTGAAATAGATAGCAGAAAGAAAAAAAATTTCAATGTCACATGCAGTTTTTTAACGTCCAAAAAATCTAATGTGAAACAGGAAGTGCACATCAGAGCTTTATACACATGCATACATACTCTTCATTCTTAGAGTTGCCGAAGTGGAGTGTGAGCATTTGTCAATTGACATGTGTCAACAGCTGATTTTTTTTTTTTTTTTTGTCTGACTCGCTGTTGTGCTCTTGATGAGGTGTAGAAATGTGTGTGTAAATGAATTAAACTGAAAATTTAATACTGATACAAATCATTTATACAAGAAAATTCAATGAAATTTTTCATTGAGGATTTTCTACAATAAAACTTTGAAACAATATACACACATCTATACATAAATGTATGCATACTATGTATATTCAGTTAAAAGTTTCATATATTTTTAGACACGTGTCCGAGTGAGTATGTAAAATTTCATAGCACATCCGGTCTGCCTGCATAATTCTCGGCACTACTATGCTTTTGGATGTGTGTGTAGTTGTCATTGTTGTGCACCATGCGTTAAACGGCACTCAACACTCACTGCATTCAATACGTCTCTTCAGTTTTTGGAGTTGCTTTATGTTTAATTGCCTGTTTGGCTATTCTTAATTTCTTGCGCTCTACAGAATGACACATACATACATATAAAAGAACTGTTGTGTTAGATAAGAGAACGCTTTTTCTAATTCACATGCTGAAGAGAAACCCTCTAAAGAGTATATCATAGTGAGCAAGAGCAACGCTTAGCGCTTAGAGCTTGACAGCTCTTGGCCCGATAAAATACAGGTCAAGCACGGTGTGAGGAACCTGTTGTTATGAGAGTCGCCGGGCGGTCATTAATTACGCTGATCCGATTTGGACGTCGGGGACTAGCGAGACGCAGTTGTAGAAGCTCCAAGCAAGTCAGAACAAAGTTCACAGCACCCTGACTGGAATCCTCTTGATGTCACCGGCTGCTTCGAGGGAGCCCACTAATACTGGCATAATTAAGTTATGGATATGATGGTCGACTCATTTCCTACATATGCAGACTTGATCCCAACATACCCAACGTATATTTTTAATGCAATGACACCCTTTACGATACTAACCACCTCTTAGCATGTCCCCTAAAACCCGCCAATTTAACCCCCTTTCCCTCTGGTCCGAACTCGTTGAAATAGCTCGTTTTCTGGACTCGTTAGATGACTTCGTTGATTTAGACTAGTCTCACCGGCTTCGGATAAATACCCCTCGAACAGAAATATGATCAACTGCCATAAAACAAATGTCATAACTTGGGGACCCAAACTAACGCGTGCATCTAACCATTTGGCTATAATTATCTCGATTGACAAACCGACAAACCTTCGATTTTGTACAGCTTTAAGCTGATAGGATCGCCTTCACGGAATCCTCCAACAGACGCAAACATTGGCGTACGACAATTTTTCTGAACTTTCCCCTACAAACCAACAGGACGCATTGCGGGAATGATCGAACCTAATAGGAGGATAATTAATACTCTGTAAGCTCTTCTGGATCAACCTGAAATCAAACCTCTGAATAAGCTTACATGACACAATGGGATGATTGGAATTTTCAAGCCGTAACCACGCTGCCCCGACCTTGTCTGGCGCACTTTGATATTCAGCTAAATTTTCTCGCTTCACTCTTTAGAAGGGAAATCAAAAAGATGAGCGTCACAACCAGCTCCGCGCTTGAATTCACCAGAAAATTGTACTGATTGAGGGAAAATACTCCAATATACCTAATCAGCATGAAGATGATTATAAAACTTCTAGGTACGGTGGAAACAGCAAAGCTGACCAACGCCTTCAAACTGTCACGGTCACGGTTTTTTTTTTTTCCAGAAATCAATCATAAGTCAATTTATTTAAACGAAGTTAATAAAAAATACGACACCCGGGATGCGGAAAGAGCGTAAAATGATTCCACTTTTCTGAATTTTCAATCATCGGTAGAACTTCCAAGCCAAACGTCCGAAAAATTATTATTAGGAAAATTATAAAGGCGGTTCCACAGTGTGGTGTTCTCACTCGTTTACTGTATGTATTTATCGAAGCTTCCTACACAATCAGACTTCATTCTTTTACGCATGCGTATTATTATATAATATTTAATAATAATTATTATTAATTTACTGACTTTTATAAATTTTATTATAGACATTTTTATAGTTCAAATTGTTATTTATTGTCTTCTGCTATATTTCTCTGACACATTGTGTACTGTGTAAATTATACAAACATATGTACATATGCTATAGAGGTATGTAAATAAATTTGTTATTAACAAGAGCATAATCTAATAATGATTGTTCATTCACATTATTTTGTTTTTGTGTTTGAATTTGTTTATTTCTATGCGTATGTATTTTTCTCCACGACTCGCTCTCCACGCTCCGCTCAGCACTAATAGCAAACAAAAACTAAGAACTTTGTATAGTTGTGCGTAGACGTGAGTATTGTCTGTATGCTTTTTGGCGCCCCATGTGACAACCGGTCCTGTGGCGCAATGGATAACGCGTCTGACTACGGATCAGAAGATTCCAGGTTCGACTCCTGGCAGGATCGACGATTAATAACATTTTTTTTTAATTTAATTTGTGTAATTTGTAATTAATTTTAGGTTTTATTGCTTTAATTTTTCATAACTTTGTTGTATTCGTAATATATTGCTCTAGAAACCTAAAAAAAAAAAAAAAAGAAATTCTGGCATTTTTGGTCTATATCCCGTATTCATGATAAAGTTTATGTGAATTGATTGTTTAATTTCTAAAGCAATTAATCGGTCCTGTGGCGCAATGGATAACGCGTCTGACTACGGATCAGAAGATTCCAGGTTCGACTCCTGGCAGGATCGTCTGTGCTATGACTTTTTAGCCCCTAACCCTTTTTATTGAATTTGATTGATTAAAAAGCACATTATATGTTAGGTTTTGTAATATTTATCAACAGGTCCTGTGGCGCAATGGATAACGCGTCTGACTACGGATCAGAAGATTCCAGGTTCGACTCCTGGCAGGATCGTTGAGAACCTTAATTTTTTCATACATACATATATACATATGTACATCAATTAAAGAATCATTTCATTGCAGCAACACACACTCCCTTGGACACTCCATATCTTCAGAAGGCGAAATTTGCAGCTCAACCAGAATGCATGCCTTCCGCGTGAAAGTTCGCCTAAATTAGGTGATATCGAACGATGTTTAATAATTTAGACTGTTTTAAATTCACTTTATTTTAAAATAATAAAAACACCTATTTAAACGTTTAAAGTATATTCTTCTGGCAAACTTTTATTCAATTCAATTGCATTGAAAAACAATGGCAGAGCGAAATCGATAAAAATTTGTTCTAAGTACTATCGAACATCTTCCTTTCCTATTGGATTTATCGAACATATAAATAAGATGTTTTCTTTTATATTACTAAATATTTATCAACAGAGTTGTGCCTAAATATATTTTTGGCATTCGAAAAACCGAAAAAATAGCAAATAAATTGATCGATAGTTATACCGCCGGAGCGTTGCACGACATGAAAAACTAAAAGGAAAAAAAGTTATTTTATGGTTATGTCGGACTGTCAAAATACGCCCACACACATTTGGAACAGAAAAAACGGAGCAATAAAGTTGGGGCCGAAGAAGGTAGTGGGTAGTGGGTAGTGGATGATACTGTGACATGAACTACACATTTAGGAGTACACATGTGTGTGAAAAGCGAGTTAAAAGCACAAAAGCAAAACATGGCGTGTGGCAGCACAGGCATTTTTGGTGACAATGCAAATAATAAAATGAAAATACTTACTAGCCTGTGGACACAGAGCTAGTAAGGATCTCTTTACATTTCATACATATGGATACATATACATACATACATACATATGTACGTTTTGCACATATAAGGAAGAAAAAATTATTAAGAGGATATTCATATGCATTTTGGTATATAGGAGTCTTGGGTCACAAGTCCTGTTAAAGGGTTGTGAACAAATGAGTGTGATAGAATTTAGTTTTATATAAAGGGAGGTGTGTGCGAAGCGGTAGCATTGCGGTTGGCATTTGCTAGCGCAATATATGGCAGAGATATGTTATTGAAAGGCATTGTCATAGTAGGTATGTGTGAAATTATTTAAACTTTATTATGGCTTTGTGAGTGGACAAATGTGTTAAAACTGGACAAATAATGCACATTCAGCTTGAGAGAGATAAGAAAAGTGTTTGCAATTGCTGATGGCGTGGGAAGATTCTAAATTGTTTAAGTTGAATAATTGAAAAGAGTGGGTGACAATTTTACGAAGAAAATTATTCACCTACTAACTTTAAATATGGAATGTAGGCAAGTTTTAAGGTATTTTAAAAAATATATATTAGATATATAACTATAATTATAATTATAATTACTAAGAAGTGTGTAGAGGGTAAAAATTAAAAAAAAATATAATTTTTATTTGCTGCATACATGTATGTATGTATGTATACTGACCTTATCCTCACCAGCTGGTGTTTATTCAGAACTACGCTATATTTTAAACGTTTTTAATATATTTTTTTTACCGAAAATCACTTTTATTGGATATAAATTTTTTCTATAAATCTTTCGGATGGTTCACATTGCTATAGTATTTTTTCAATTTATTTCCTTTATTGATTCACTGATAACATACATATATTGCATATATTAAAAAGGTTTCAAAAACTTTTTGTATAAAAATTTCATGTTTACAATGCAAGCCTTAAAAAAGAATTTTATGGTATATTAAACTATTTACAGGCTGTTAAAATTTTGTTTGAAATTTGTATTATAGAATAATTAATAGTAAATATTTCTTCACATTTTGTTTATGGATTATAATGTATTTTTTATACTATATATTTTTTTTTTAATTGAATTGTTTAACTATTTTTGAGTCAAACCACATTGCCACAAGGGTTATTTTTTCAAATTTATTAAAATTTATTAAAGAGATTATTGGTTGAAGATATTTGTATGCCCATTATTTTTTGGGTTATGTATTTAAATAAAATGGGAAAGTAAGAGTAATCGATATGTAGAAATTTGATTTCTAGCTCTCATAATTAAAATTGATTAAGGACATAAGGTTGTAAAGACAACTAAAATATGATCTGAAAATATCTATTGCTCCTGAAAAAGAAACTAGTTTAGGTATATCTATCAAACATTATTAATAACTTTTGTTTTTTATATTTACTTTTATATTTTATTGTTTTTATTTATTATTTCTTTTTTGTTAATTTGTTATTTTTTTTTTTATTACTTTGTAATTTTTTAATTTTTTTTAATTGGTTTACTTTTATATATATTTTTTAATTTGCATTAACTTTTTAATTGTTTACTTAATTTTTTTATTTAATTTCTATTTTTTTTTAATTTATCTAAATTTTTTCTTTTTTATTTTTTAATTTTTTTCTTTTTAATTACTTTATTTTTCAATTTCTTTATTTTTTAATTTTTTTAAAATTTCCTATTAATTTCTTTTTTTTTTAATTTTTTTATTTGTTTTTTAACTTTTTTTAATTTCTTATTATTTTTTTTCATTTTTATTTTTATTTTTTATATTTTTTTATATTTTTTTATATTTTTTTATATTTTTTTATATTTTTTATATTTTTTTATATTTTTTATATTTTTTTATATTTTTTATATTTTTTTATATTTTTTATATTTTTTTATATTTTTTTTATATTTTTTTATATTTTTTATATTTTTTTATATTTTTTTATATTTTTTTAAATTTTTTTATATTTTTTTATATTTTTATATATTTTTATATATTTTTTTATATTTTTTTATATTTTTTATATTTTTTATATTTTTTATATTTTTTTATATTTTTTTATTTTTTTTTTATATTTTATCTTATTTTTTGATTTATTCTAATTTTTTTTAAATTATTTTAATTTTGTTTTAATTTTTTTTTTAAATTTTCCTTCAATTTTTTTATATTTTTTTTATTTTTTAAATTTCTTTTAAACTTCATAAATTTTTTTTTTAATTTTTCTTCATTTTTTTTAAATTTTCCTTCAATTTTTTTAAATTTCCCTTCAATTTTTTAATATTTTTTAATTTTTTGATTTTTTTATACATTTTGATTTTTTTTAAATTTTTTTATNTTTTTTTTTTAATTTTTTTTTTAATTTTTTTTTTTAATTTTTTTTTTAATTTTTTTTTACTTTTTTTATTTTATTTTTTTTAACTTTTTATTTTTGTTTAATTACTCTTTATTTTTTAATATTTTTAAGTTGTTAAATCATATTTTTTATTTTAAATTTATATTTATTTTTTATTTTTTCCATTCCTTGTTTTTTTTATTTTTAATACTTTATTTAACTATTTTTATTTTTGATGTTTATATATTTTTATTTTTTTTTTGTTTTTATTATATATTTAGTTCTTTTTTTCTATTTTTATTGCATATTAATTTCTATTTTTATTTTTAGTCCACTTTTATTTACTTTTTATTCCGGTTTTATTTTATTTTTGTTCATTTTTAATGGCTATTTTTATTTTTTTTATTCTATTTCAATTCGTTTATAATTTTTATTTTTATTTTTTGATTCAATTTCCTATTACTTTTCAGTTATTTATGTAAGTTAGGTTTTAAATTGGAATAACCAACGCAGAAACAATAGAAAAAAGATTATAAAGCTAGGTATATACGCAGATCTAACGTTTTAGATCAATTGTTTTTATCCATACCTCGAAGTTTGAGGAGGCCTAGTAGTGCAATTGCATTACTTGTTTGCATTTTTGTCTTTTTTTTTTTTTTAATGCTCCATATTTATGAACATACAGATGTACATACAAATGTATATACCACTCTTTGTCATGACTGGGTTTATTTAGGTAGACGAAATATTCACATCTACATCCATACATATGTACTTTACAGTATACAAGTATGTATTTATACCAATATGCATATCATATCTATGCATTGAGCTCCTAATAAGACAAATATCCTAAACATGCAGTTTACTTGTATACTAACATACTGGAAGTGAATTGAAAGCGTCTTCCTATTTTTCTTCCATCAACTTTAATGCATATTCTCCTCGTTTTAATCATGTATGGGCGCTTAGATATTTAGCGTAATGTTTAGCTCAAAAGAAAATAAGTAAAATCACACACTTTTATCCGAACTTTTGTTGCAGCCTCTATTTCAAGAAGCACCAGTACAGATATCCTAATTTTCAGCTGCTTTTTCACTTTGTTGTGGTGTTAATTTTTGTCTGGGACAGCACTTATGTATGTTTTTTCAACATTCTATATTTTTTCCGACTACACTCACTGTCATTCTGTTTTACACATTCACTTGTCAAAGAAGTGCATTTTACAAATATTTTATAAACATTTGCTCCATTAATTTTCACATACATAAATGCTAATATTAATTCTTGTTTACTTTCAATTCACCTTATTACAGAAATTGTTTTGCAAAAGTGCCGATTTCATATAATTTTCTTATTACACAAATTTAATTTTCACCACCGTCTGCTGCATTCACCAAACAACTAACCATAAATATGAGAAAAACCGACAACTGCAAAGATAACGACGTCGACGTCACCTCTGCACTTTCGATGTCGACGTAGACTGCATTTACTTGACTACCGTTGCAAAGGGGAAAATAAAAAAATGACAACAATAATGACGGCGACGTTAGCTTCGCAGTTGACAGCTTCAACGAAGTATGTATATGAATGTCAAAACCAATAGAGAATGACAAAGCAAAAGTTTTCTTGAAGTACAGCGAAAAAAACAGAAATATACTGATTAGTTTGTGTACATTAGCAGCTCATCTGTATTTGCCAAGCAAATGGAAAGCGCTAAATAATCACTGGATTAGTTGGTAGTATTCAGCTTTTGATTGCAGTGGCAGAATAATCAGTCAGCTTGTTCACAATTGGGAATGTATTTACGTTAGAAGTAACTCACCATTAGTTTAGTGTTGTTGTGGTAAGCTGTGGGATAAATAAACACTTCGTAACCGGTTACTCTGCTTAGTGCTGACTGGTGGCGAAGAAATTAGCTGAAACAAAAATTAATGCAAAGCTTCCCAGCAATTTAGGTTATGTTGTGCTGCTAATACAAATCCATGGAGGATACTAACTTCAAGCGGAAAAGCTAAAAAAAAGTTGTTTTTTATTTAACTTTTAATTTTTAATTCATGAAACACATATCTATTTTATATCGCATTTAAGAGTCCGTTAGCAAATGTTAAATGTACATACATACATAGGTATGTATGTAGGTTTTTATTTGAAATGTTGATGAATTACAAAATAAAATTGTAGTTAACTAAGACATAGAAATTAGAAAATCTATATTATTAAATGAGAAAAGAAGCGTTAAAAATAGTATTTAATAGATTAAAATGTATTTTAAATAAAAAGTATGAATTTGTTTAAGACATTCAATCACTGCTATCATCACCGGCATCATAGTAGTCAACATCATCATCGTCATCATCATCAACAGCACCACGTCTATGATATTCGTCATCATAAGCAAATTCGTCCGATGATGAATCCCCATACTCCGATACGCTAGAATCTTCCCCATCAATGGTGTGTATATAGCCTTCATTTGTACCTGTTAGTTGAAAACAAAAAAAAATTTCGATATTTTTTCATTTGTCTATTCAAATTCGCATTACCCATACGCATACGCCGTAAGCCCATTGAAATATTATCTTCATAATCATCATCTTCATCTGGATAATCATTTGTATAGTAATTTTCAATATTGGAGTCTTCTGAATCGTCACAATCATCGTCATCGTTAAAGCGATCCTCGTAGACTAGATCATCGTAGGGACGTACACTACAATTTAAAAAAGGCGAAAAAAATATCAAATTTACTGTCAATTTTTATACTACAAAAATTGCAAGTTTGCAAAATAATTTAGAACTCCTATAAAAACTCTAGTCGACCTTAAAAATTATTAAAAAAGGAATCTAGGAAATTCCGTAAAAAGTCCACTTCATTAAAAACTATCAACATCGACTGCGATTTAGAGCATTTCTGAGTTTTCCTTAAGCAAAATGTATTTTCTAATATAAAAATAAGATACTAATTGAAATATGCCAAGTTTTTTCCACAGAAGAAACCGTTAATTGGAAAATATCGTTTTAACAGGCCTAATCCGTGCTTGCTTGATTTCATAAACTTTCAATTTACCAGCAACATTGGGTTAGAATATTTAACCGCTTAAAGCGCTGACCTTTGAAACAATTCATGATTATGAGGCATTCATCAGCTGCATACATTTGAGAAAAATCTTCCCATAATTTCCATTACGACATATCACAATACTTTTTGCTTAATGATAACAGCATTCCTTAACTATATCTACTACACATGCTTAAAATTTGCGTTTTTGAGTAAATGAAAATAAAAATAAGAAATAAAAACTTGGCACAACCAAAGAAATCAAAGACGTTTTTCCTTTACCAACAAATTCAACAATAATGAATAAAACAAGTTTTGTTGTTGTTTTTGGTTATCTCATATATATATATATATACATATATATGTATTATGGTAACTGTCATAGTTTTATATATATATATATTTATAAATTTATATTTAAATAAAAAACGCAATTTATGTTAATTCGACGTTTCATTTCTTAAACTATAACTTTATATGCTAATATGTTGCGTTTTGCACAGTTGCAATTTAACTTACATTCAATATTTTTTTCCATCAATATGCAATTAATTATATATTTATTAAGCTTCACGCATTTTGAACTAATTCTTTATATGTAATGCGATTTTGGCTGCTTAAAACCAAGTATTTATTTTCAGTTACTCACAACGCACACATACAAACATATATGTGTATAAAATTACTTACATAAATTAATTTAAACAATTTTTACTTAATGTTAAGAACTTAAAATACAAAATTCGCTACATAGCACACCTCCTTTTGCAAATTCTTTGGCCACTTCTTTGGCGGGTGTGCGTCAGTTTTACATATTAGCTTGTGATTTATATATATATATATATATTTGCAAACATATACTTTAATCAATAAATTTTCATTACAATTACTATGTGCGAAGAAAGACACTTGTTTTCATTTACATATTTGTTTATTTATATTTATATAAAAACTATAATTACGCTTAAAAAGAAATTGTTAAAAAAAAATATCATATTTCATACATACATACATATATTTATTGCGCGATATATTTTTGTATTATAACTAATTAAATTGTACGACTGGCAGAAAACAAACAGCTTGGAATGATTTCAAACATCGTGAAGCGCGCAAGCAAAATGAACAAAAAGATGTATATTGTCAATAATTAAGAATTAATGTTAATTGCAATAGTCTCTTAACCAAGGATGTATCCTAATGAAAACCAAAATTTTTAACAAGCATTTTTATTATTTTTAATTTTTACATAAATAAGATCTGCCAACATTTAAGCGGACTTGTTTTCAGTCTTTATGCTTTTTACTTTTCAAAAATTTATTTAAATGTTTATAAGTATGGAAAAAAAAAGAAAGTTTTAAGGTTATTAACATAGATGCATACGTTTTGGCAAGCCTGTATGTGTGCGTTTAAATCTTAAATTATTTTATATATTAATATTATAAAATTATTTTTATTTCATATATACTGGAGCATTTTTCACGTTTTGCTTTTGGCGTATTTCTCGGCCGTTGTCGTTAATAATAAAGATTTTTAGACTTTTACATCAATATCCTTCGTCGTCCATAATAGTTTGTATGTATGTTGACCATCATAGGTAGTACCAATTTCTTAGATATATGTATATTACACACTTTGTAATTATTATTTCTCACAGTAAATTTAATCGCAATTACCAAAAGCAGTGGTTGTAGCAAGTGTTGTTGTGGTAGTAATTAAACGGATAGTGCAACCTTAATAAATACACAACAATTTGCATCAATTTTCTCTATACAACTCATACACTTATAAGCACTTTTTGTTATGCATAGTATGTCAAAGTATGTAAAATTATGTGTATGAAGAACAGAAAAATGCAAGTCTGATCGATTTTTTTTTCATCATTAGAAATTGAATATTTTTTTAAATTTAAAAAAAAAAAAAAAAAAAATTGGTAAATATCATGTATAAGTACTAGTTTGAAGCGTATGTTTTACTTGTTTTGTTTTTGGATTTTAAAATTTGCCACTGTCTCTGGAGCCAACTTAACAGACAACACATATATACATACATACAAATGAGAATACAAAATTATATCCATGTTTAAAAACACCCGCACCCTGCACCCTGCCACAACTGCCATTACGTGTTTGTTCATTTACTTTGTGAAATTGTTAGCATACTAACTGCATTTTAAATGAAACGACTCGTGAGCAATATATGCTCAACATGACAAACAAACCTTAAATTGTTGTTATCCATCATATCAGCATACTCCATTTGTAATTCGTTCTCTGGCAAATATAAATCATACACATAGCCTGTATCAGAGTCAGTCGATTGTTGTGTATTTAATGTAGGTATCTCGCCTTCATGGACATCTCCAATGATGCGATTCAATTCTGCGTTGTATTGCTGTTGCATTACAGCATTTTGTGTGGAACTTGGCTGACTTTCTTCTCCTAATGTCGCGTTTGTTGTTCTATCGTCCGCATCTTGCTTTTCAATATCGACAATTGTTACTTCTTTCGCAGCTTCTTCAGCATTTGCGTCGGTATCAAGTGTGGTCCGCATACAATTTACAACGCGGAAACGACTCTCATGTAGTGCTTGTCGCATTTCCTGTCTAGCACGCTCAGTATGATTAATTGGCGTACGTAAAGATTTCTGTAGTACAAGTTCTTTGGCAGCCTCTTTCGTAAGTCGTGCTAACTGCGTGGTTGCACCGTCATCCTATTTTTAAGATATATATATGTATATATAAGTATAGATGGAAACTCAATATATAATGATTAAAACTAAAAATTATTTAAAAAAAAAAAAAAAAATTAAATTCACATTACCTGTTCTTGTATTGTGCCTGCAAATTTAAGTATTGTTGACACTTCGCCATTTTCGTTTGCAGCATTATCAATGCTGGCTCCGGCATCGACGGCGGCGGCAGCTGTCTCTTCCGCGTGTACCCCTCCTTCAGTATGATCTAAACGGCGTCGTTTTTTGCTATTCAATATAAAAGCACTCAGTGGTTCTTCATCGATTCTGCGTTTTATACGGACTACTGCAGGCATTTTTTGTTTAAATCAAACTTTCTGTTTCTTTAAATTTACTTATTTTATTATTATAAGTTAATATATTAAATATTTGCAGCTAATATTAGAGGGATAGCTGCGGGTAGCAAAGAATTTTACAATACAAGAAAATTCCAACAAAGAAATGTGCGAGACTAGCAGTGTAGCCAAACTGCATATCTAAAATGCCACAAGTGTTACCAAGCCACATTTTCTAAGGTGTTGGTACAATCACGCTCATTTCAAGTTTTTCTTTAAGTGTCTTCGGGTTATTGGGTATAAATTTAAAAAATACAGATATAACAAAGAGATGTAATATTTATATTGTTTTTGTTGTTATTGTTGTAGCGGATAGCAGTCATGATCAGTATAAATCATCGAGGTCATATAACGGGAGGTGCAAGAAACCGGATTGCACCAAAGATATATATGTATATATAGGGGTATTAGATAGGGTTATTAGAATTGGTTTCAGATAGCAGCTCAACAATTTGGTAACAATTACATTAATATGCAGAGTACAGAGCACGTCATCGACTTTCACGCCCAGCTCGAGCTGGTACTCCTTCTTGAAGGTGAAAATGTATACTTATCTAAGATTTTTGGAGCTAAATCCATTTTGGCCATAACTATAAGTAGAATTCAGCTAAAATAATGAACGAGGAATAATTGAAAAATATCTAAAACAATAGGTGTCTTCATTTAAACGTGCAAACCTCATATAATTTTCGCCGGATATATAATTGTAAATGTGTAAAACCGAAATATATACGAAGTTTATCACTGCATCTTTTCAGATGAAGATCCCTAATATCTTTTTTGGTAGGGATCCAACGGACGGACGGTTAGCAAAACGAAATTAATATACCCATTCAATAAACCATAAAATTGTATCGTCCACTTGATTAAATGGTACCGAAAATTATACCAATTTACCAATACCCATCAATGAACCGTCAAAAGAGTGCTGCCCAGTCTTCGTTGACAATTTGGCAATTAAAAAATGTCACTTTTGACATCGTATAGTTTGTTGTTGGGGTTTTCATTACGTGCCCCTGCTGTTCCAGCAATATTTTAGAAAAAATTTATTCCTGTTTTTCCATAAAACGCTGGTACGTTTAATCCTAGTGGATAAGTTAGGACGATAATCGAATAGTCCTAGATAACATTGGGTGACGAGTTAACCGAACTACTGCGCAAAGATGGCACTTTCAGCGATGAATGTTATGATTAAGCGATCCGCCACGACCGGATTACAAATGTTGAGGCCACAAGCCATAGCTGCAGTTGGTTCCACATTGGGCAGGTGAGCAGTTGGTCTACTTGTTAAGCCAAGTACAAGGGGCATAAGTTTAATTATGTTTCTATGTGTAAAGCTAGCTATAGTTGTACAATTATCGCTTTTCTAAAACTTCAAAACACCGATGAGCTTACATAATCAGTGCAAGAAATTTAGGCAATCGGCTTATATGAAACTGCATGGATTTTTAATAAAACTACCGCTTTCAAGTTTTTATTTATATAAAAGTTTTCTGCTATATATCAACTAACATACATAAAGGTAGAATAAATATTTTCAACTTGAAATATTTTTTCTTACTCTAATTGATTACATTGTGTGGTATTCGTATGTGTAGTTATATACATACATACAGCCTAAAACAGCTGATTGCAACTGTGCTCAGTACTTACTAGCTTGACAAGTTTGGTTGTTTTTAATGTATATTAAATAACGAATTTCATTTACAAAACTAGCGACAAGCAGCAAAAGCGTGGCGCAGCGAAATGGTATCCTGACCCTGAGTTTATGAAGCAATTTAGCGGTCCTGTTATGTACCCAGATGAGTCCACCGCGCTAATGAAGCTACCACCATGGAATAGTGCGTAATATTATTTATATGTGGTTGTACAAAATTATTCTTAATTAAACTACATATTTTTCTTCAGGTAAAATTATGCCAGTGGAAAAGTCGGTACGCAATCTGACAATTAATTTTGGTCCACAGCATCCAGCTGCTCACGGTGTCTTGCGTTTAGTGCTGGAATTGGATGGTGAGGTAGGTGTAATTGTAGCTTAATTTATACTTATTGTATGGCTTTAATGTAATTTTGAATTATAGACTGTCATGCGCGCTGATCCGCACATTGGATTGTTACATCGTGGTACAGAAAAGTTGATTGAATATAAAACGTATACGCAAGCGTTGCCCTATTTCGATCGTCTGGATTACGTATCCATGATGTGTAATGAGCAATGTTATTCACTGGCAATTGAAAAATTGCTCAACATCGAAGTGCCATTGCGCGCTAAGTATATTCGCAGTAAGTTGACTGAAACCTATTTTTTTTTGTCATAATTAATAATATAATTTTATTTTTAATTCTAGCCTTATTTGCCGAAATTACACGTATCCTTAATCATATTATGGCCGTGGGCACACATGCTTTGGATGTGGGTGCACTGACACCTTTCTTCTGGCTCTTCGAAGAGCGTGAAAAAATGATGGAATTCTACGAACGTGTTTCCGGCGCACGTATGCACGCAGCGTATATACGTCCTGGTGGCGTTTCATTGGTATATGATTTTTAGTATATATTTTTTTTTATATACAATTATAAAATGAAATGTTATTTCTTACGCCAACGCAGGATATGCCGCTTGGCCTGATGGATGATATATACGAATTTGCCTCGAAATTTGCCGAACGTTTGGACGAGGTAGAGGATGTGCTCACTACTAATCGTATTTGGGTACAACGTACAGCCGATATTGGTATTGTTTCAGCTGAAGATGCTTTAAATTATGGCTTCAGTGGCGTTATGTTACGCGGTTCAGGCATTAAATGGGACTTGCGCAAGCAGCAACCATATGACGCTTACGAACTGGTTGATTTTGATGTACCAATCGGCACCAAGGGAGATTGTTATGATCGTTATTTGTGCCGTGTTGAGGAAATGCGTCAATCATTGAGAATTATTGATCAGTGTTTGAATCAAATGCCTGCTGGTGAAGTTAAGACCGATGATGCTAAAATAACACCACCATCCCGTGCTGAAATGAAGAACTCTATGGAGGCGCTCATTCATCATTTCAAACTCTTCACTCAAGGCTATCAAGTACCGCCTGGTGCCACCTATACCGCTATTGAGGCGCCAAAGGGTGAATTCGGTGTTTACTTGGTATCGGATGGTTCAAGTCGCCCGTATCGTTGCAAGATCAAGGCACCAGGCTTTGCACATTTGGCAGCGCTCGATAAGATTGGCAAACAACATATGTTGGCCGACATCGTAGCGATCATCGGTACACTCGATGTGGTGTTCGGTGAGATCGATCGATAGGCTTGAATGCGTATAGACGAGATCAAACCCAATAGTTAATATCAATAAATAAATAAAGTGTAAAACGTGTGTAATAAACAGAGTTTATTCAAACCAAAGGGCTCTTTGGTGGTAACAATGTGTGCATTGATTTTTAGTATATAAATATATTAGGAAATGAGGCTTAAATCCGTTTTCACATTACTGTTCTTTTATTTAAATTAAACTTCTTCAAAAACATACATAAAAACGTAACAAAATTCATATAATGACAAAAAAAATTAAATAATTAAAACGAATTAAAAAAAAAATTAGTGATTAAAGCAAGCATTAAATTTCGACAGCAATTAAACATTAATTATGACTTCGCATATAATCAAGAAAGTCAGCGCTAAACATGCTAAATTCTTCGCTATTATGTACACTATATGTTATGTTACCAGCCCTATCGAAATGATATTTTATAATGGTATCAGGGCAGTCGTAATTTTTCGTAGTCTCCATGATTAAATTTAGAAACTTAAACATAAAAGTCTTGCCAACGTGTATGCGACTAGATTGTTGCTTTTAAAGAAATTAATTTGTTAAAAATTTTTATTTTATATATATGTTCATATATAAGATATAAATACCGTTTCCAAATAATCTATGTCCTTTAATAAACCAGGTTTACACACTACACCTTCAGTGTTTTTAAAGCCAACAAATATTTGCTTTGCATTGCAAACGTATGCCTTGACCCACCATTGAAACGCTGTGACTGTGTTTTGCCAAAAATCAAACTTACTCTCATGCATAATATTTGTTGACACAAAGGTGCATTTATTCAATGACTCCAGATCGGCGCTATAAAGAAATAAATTTTTATGAGTGAAATTTGAAATTCACCAATTTCGACTATATTTGTACTTACAAGTTTTCAATATTTTCTTCACTGGCAACAGGGTATGCTTGACCGGTATAAAACATATCTAGATGTCCATATGTTGCACTGTAAACACAGAAACCTCTTTTATTATCATGCACAGCTTCGTTAATGTTTGGTTCGGCTGCAGGAGAAACTGTAAAAAAAAAACATACCCACAATTGAACGAAAAAAAATACTTGCAGATAAAAACAATTTTTTTGTTACTCGTTTCACAATATTGTGCGAATTTATAATGATGTCTGCCATTTGTGGTAGTTTCGCCCGAGTCTTGAAATGTTGCCATAAATATGAAATTTTTATGTTTGGTTACAATTATTGGCAAATCAGTTATAAAAAACGGCGCTGTTAGTATGCGTGTTAGGACATGACGACGCGTGAATATTTTTATACGCCTTCCATTGCCATGAGATTTATACGCATTGTAGAGGTTCTCTTCTATGATGAACTTCTCTAACATCGCCATGCAGTCAGTTTGCGCTATTCCTTGTGTGTTAATATATACCTTGACATTCAATACCAAAGGATATGCCTCGAGTTTCGGCTGCTTGAAATACAATAGCGATTGTGGTGGTTTTAATTGATCATCAATTATTTGCCAGAACTTTATTATATTTATGCGTTCTAACGAGATGATTTCGGTTGCCTCTTCCAATTCAGTCTTATTTATTGTATAAAGGAATTTTGTTTTAACCATTTTTATAATTCAATTTCTTAAATAATTTCTCACTTTTAAACGCTTAAAGTGCCGTATTTTAAATTTATTTCCGGGAATTAGCGCTGGCCTGTTTTCACAACAGATGCCTCGGCTATATGCTTAAGGATGCCACTAGACTTTTATTGCAGTTTAATCCGGGACACACACCAGACAGCTTCAAATTGTAATTGATATAAGTTCTTTTTTCCTTTTACAAAACACCCTGTTATTAACAGTACTTATTGAAATTTTAAGAAAAAAGCTGCAAATGTTTTTTCCAAACGGACTCGAAAATGCTAAGAAAAACTATAATAATATTTGCTGTCTTTTTCTAAATTTAATCGTTTTTGAATAAAGCGGCAAAAAATTAACGCAGCTCTTTGTGCACAGAATTTACGGAATGCAAAAATGAAATATGAAGAAGATGCGGGAATATGAAGAGATGACAAGCGTGATGACAAGGGTAATGCTGGAATATTCGGCGAAAAGATATGGTGACTTACAGAAGGTTTTAAAACAGGAGTAATATCTTGTAGCACCCAGAGAGGTGATCAAGCGGCTACTGCCCAGAGTATAACGAACTTATTTCATTTGATTTCCTTCCCCCTATACAAAGGCACTCGCAGCTGCAGAAATAAAATCTGAACAATGCATGCAGCAACAAAGCACAGGAATTTCGACAGACCGAATATGATTTGCATTTTGTTCGAGTTTTTCAATACCAATAAGATTACGGAAATTATTTTTTGGCGCCGAAAATTCAATTTGCTGCGAATTCAAATGCATTTCGATTTAAGAAGAGACTCGAATATATTTTGTGCAAGCAAAGAGAGCAATTGAGTATGAAAATATAGTAATCGATTATTGAAATTGTCGAAATAAATAAAACTCACTCACCTTTAACACAAACAATTAAAATCCAACAGAATCGTAAATTGTAATTCAATTTTTGTTTATTTAAGTATTTAATTTTATTGGATTTATTTATTATCACGTTCATAATACAATGGTTTAGACTTACATACAATTTTACATAAAATGTTTTCTTTAAGCATATTTAATGAATGCAAATTACTTATTGAAATTCTAGAAATTCTGGCTTGCAGTTTATTTTTTTGTTTCTTTTAATTTTTACATTTTAACTGTAAATTTATATAAACAAACAATAAGAAATTACAATATGTCTGTGTAGGAGTCTACTTTAACATTTGTAACTTATTTTTTTCAAATTTTCAGTTTTTACTTACAGTTACTGAATTTTAAGTTTCAAATATTCTCATTTTCTGATTATTATAATTTTCAATTTTTCAATAAATTATATTTATTGTATATAAATAAAATATAAAAGCTGTTATTTAAATATAAAAATATATATACATAGATACATTTATTTATAGTCTGCAAGCCGAAGTTTTTTACGTTCAACAGAGGAACTTTTTACTACAACTAAATACTTGTGTGATCTACTTTGTAGATGTATGCACATGTTTACAATAAGTTTTCTTATAATAAGCGTTAAGACTTTTACCATAGTGTGCATAAATAAATACATTTGTATATGCATAACATTGTATTTTAAATTTTTTAATTTAGAGATGGCGATTGATTGATACTTAGTACTTAATTATACTTTTAAACAAAAACTTAATATATGTTTCATCTACAAATTTAATGAATAACGAATTATGTACATTTGTTCATCCTGCAGCAAACAAAAATGAGTTGACTTCGTTTTAAATGCTAGAGCTTCAATGAAGTTATGACTTGCGGTAGCTGAACACAGCCTGCCAAGGCTTGTGCCGTCTAAACACAGCCTACCAAAGTATAAGATCGCTTAATCGATCAAACCATAGCGTAATGTTTGTATTCGAGTTATCGATAGTACATAGAGAGTAATTATCACTATTAAACCTATGGAGTTGACTTTTGGAGAAGAAAATGTTAAGTTGTTTTAAATTGATTAACTACATTCTCAGTAATAATAATAATTTGAACGAGGGCGAGTATATCTATATGTGTTAGTGCGCTAGAATCTGCTATCCTTTATCGACTTCCAGTAAAAATTTCATGACATTTCATCTACTGGAAATGAAGTTATTGCGTTTTAGGTGTCTGTGTATGTTTTTGTCATCGGTGCGAAAATGAGCTCGAATTGACTGACGACCGAAAATTGCACAGAATTCAACATTCGAAGGACATCATTAAAGAGGCAAAAAAATGACCCGAACTTCCTCTGCAAGATTGTGACTGGTGACGAAACGTGCTGTTTTCAATATGATCTCGAAACGAAACGCCAGAGTGCTGAATGGAAAGCGACGGACGAGCCGAAACCCAAAAAATCGCGCTTAGAGAAGTTAAAAGTGAAGACAATGCTGATTTGTTTTTATGATTCGAAGGGTATTGTCCATAAAGAATTTCTTCTACCCTGCCAAAACGTTAATGCGGTATTCTACATTGGAGTTTTGGTTTGGTGCGCCGTATACGACGTGTTCGGCCCGAATATTGCGTCTTGGAGGCTTGCACTGGCAGTCATACCGGGCAATGGGCTAAAATACTCGTTTGACATGCTTTTGGACCGTGCAAAAAGCTGTATTAAAGCAGAAGGAGACTATTTTGAATAAAATTAATTGCTTTTGCCGATAAAACAATTTGTTCTGTCTTTGTTATAAAGTCCAGATTCAGATTGTGAAACCGTTACCCACATATGGACAACTTTCTTCATCAATTGCAGTTTTCCGTACCTATTGGGAAATGAAAACCAACCTACCAAATATATTTTATTAGCATACACTGATTTGAGCCATATAGGAAATGATGACTCCAGCGTTGCTTTTTTCAATGAAGTACATTTAAAAGCAATAAGCGTAGTTGAAAGAAGAACTGGTATATTAACCATGTCATATCATATGGCAACAGGCAGATGAGTTGTGCGGTTAGAGTTAGACTTGTTCGACGTCACATTGGTGAATGTGTTGTACGTATTGGGGTTGCAATCTAACTTAATTTCTGTTGCAAGAGCGGTTAACAGCGGCTACACCGTGGAGTTTGGAGAAAACATAGCAACAATCTTAAATAAGCACTGAGTCACAAAATACGTGTTGGGTATAATATATACATATGTAAGTGCCGCTAACTCTTGTAATAATAAAGTAAAAAGTCAAAATTGTCTATTTTATGCGGCTGAAAACCCTCAAACTATTGAGGAACAGCCTTTAAATGGCCAAAATGTTACAGTTTGGTGTGCTGTTTATATCCGCACATTGTCATTGTAAACTAGCCTTAAGATATCAAATGCAACTCGGACTTCTCGGACTGGCTTCGACAATCAAAATAAATATATTCAGTTGAGTCCAGAGAAAGCATCAATTCCGTAACGCGCTTTTGTCATATTATTCCGTTTAATTCAATTAGAATTAATGCCACGACGAAGGCATATAAAATTCATCGTTTTATTTTTCGTTATTTTTGCCTTTCGAGTGAGCAAAAACTTTTTTAGTTCGCAGTATTATCATTTTATTTATTTTTAGTAAATTTTGGAGATAATCTTATATTAAAAATAATAAAATAATTATAGCGAAATATCACAATTCTTCTTTATGTTGAAAAACACTATTTTATGAGGGTTGAATTATGAGCTATGTGACATAAAGATGTTTAACTTCATTTCTAATCAGCTCGATTAGGCTTACTTACGATAAACGCCTTTTATCTCTATTGACGTAGTACATGTCAATTATAAATACTAGTGGATTAATAGCATAAATTTAAATGTTAAAGTATTGTATATTCAATAAAGGAGTTGGTAAAATCAAAAGATTAAGCAATGTTGGATTGACCACAGACAAGACAGTAATTGTACAATGGTTGCAATCCACAAATCAGACAGTTTTTGGAGTTTATTCAAAAGAGAGAGATAGTTCAAAATTATTTCCCAATTTTGGGGTTTGGCAACCCACCGAAAAAGGACCTAATATATATTGCTTTAACAGAAGCAATGATTGCATAATATAAAATTAAATTTTTTCCATCTGTAATCATGATGGACAACGCTTTCATGTTATTAAAAAAAATATACGGGAGCATTCTCTCTTGGATATACTCGATCGAAGCTTTAACCGACCTTTAATGCATCTTCGAGCTAAACGTCAATAATATCTTAACTCAGGCACAACTTTATACCATATAAATATATATGGCAACACTTTAACGCTATTTGTTGCGAGCAAAGCGGGCCAATGGTATTAAATAACGATAACCTAAGTTCGCAGAGCTTAGTGAACAGCCAAATTCCCGATTGTGGCGATGGCAACCCACAGAAAAAGGATGTAATATATTTTGCTTTAACAGAAGCAATGATTGCATAATATATAATTAAATTTTTTTCCATCTGTAATCATGATGGACAACGCTTTCATGTTATTAAAAAAAAATATATACGAGAGCATTCTTTTTTGGATATACTCGATCGAAGCTTTAACCGACCTTTAGAGCATCTTCGAAAATAGTTTATAGCTTCTCGAGCACCGTCAACAACATCACCATCGCCACCGTCACGTATAAACGGATTCACATAACTGAATTGGATATTTTTACTTTGTTAGGACCCAGATAATTACGTTTATATAGTTTAATATACAAACACACATTCGTTGTCTGTTAGAAAACTGAATTGAAATACAACTCTGCAACCCAACTGCTCATTAGAAGCGTATAAGCGTAGCCATATTTGAAAACATACACTTCCGTTTTGAATACATGTACAAATAAAATGAATTAGTCGTTCCAGAACTCTGAAGATTAACACAAGTGTATGCTTTAATAGGCCATACGTGTAGTCTGCGACAAATAAGATTAACAGTGGTTATGGGCCCAGAGTGCCTATTTTAGTATTGAAAAATATTTATAAACGGTTTCGGTTTTAATGTTTATCCGATGTTGAAAACATAACAAGAAAAATGGCGAGCTCTTTAGCAAATATAGAAAAGTTAAATTCGGAAAACTATGCGACTTGGTCGATACAAGTCAAAAGTTTATTGATCACTCTAGACATTGTGGCATGTGCTCGTGGAAACTCCTC